TTATGTGCATTGTTTTGTCCAAAAAGAGCAAGTGAATGATAACATAACCGTTGTTGGGTCCCAACCCTCGTAGAGCGGCACAGCATGACCGATCATGAAAAGGCTAAACCAATCTTGCACAAATGCGCTCAAATTTGCATGAAAATGCTTTGACGTTTGCCCAGCTGACTGCGCCCTGACTTTGTTTAACAACCTGGACCGGGTGCAGTGGACAACGGAAGAATTGTGACTCCAGCCCCTCCCCCCCAATTTCACGCCTTGTGGAGCCCGTCCAGCGCACGAAACAGGTCCAAAACCCCATCATCCGGCAAGGCTGCCATGGGAATCGCCGGGCACCCGGCGAAGCGGTTAAAGCTTGGAGAGCAAAGGGAAAAGATCCCTGGGCTTCCTTCTCACGCCTGATGATTTGGTCGGGTGTTGTTTGCTTCTAACAGGGATCCTTACACACCTGAACATTGCCTTGTAAATGGTGGTGTCCCTTTGTTTTGGTGGAAAAAGCCATGTTTCAAATGGTTGCAAAATGTATCTTTTAAGGAGCCCTGTCAAAGGTAAACACAAAATCCCACCGACGGGGAAAACGCTTTTGTCGCTGAGCACCTCCACGTGATCTACCCAAGGCTTGGGGTAACGGCTCTCCCAGGAAAAGCCGAGCTTTCGCTTGTTGAGCTCACGAATGGACGTGGCTTTTTTTGGCCATGTTCTGAATAAGCGCAGGGCTACCGCGTTTTTTTTTCTTCCAAGGTTCGACGCATTCCTGAAATATCGTGTCAGGTTGAATATGAACCAATTTGAGTTGCTTGAAATGGAGGCAATTTTGCCCTGGACTTCGGCATTGCAAAGAAACCAGCTTACCCTCAAACAGAGTCATACTCAGTAGGTTGGTTGTTGTCTGCTTGCTTCCAGAAGCTTTGGGCCACATGTCATCAGCTTTCGGCCATGACGTGCGGTAAAGTGACAGCTCGGTGGTTCGAGCACCACTTTGCAAACCATCCACCTGGTCCAGTACCGTGACGTCCTCGAATATCTCGAATGCCGCGCCGCAACTGGCTGTCTGAGGGGAACCCACCGCCAAGTGGAATTTGGAAAACCCCTCAAACTGCTCGCTTCAATGGACACAGATCTATGGTGCCTGGGTTAAAAACGAGGCAAGCGGCAAAAGAAACATCACATGTGTGATGAACTGTCATTGCACCTACCAATCCACGACGTGTTGCGGGGGCTTCAACTTCCCCTCTCTCCTGGAGCCGCCCATCAATTGGGACCCTAGGCTTGCTTAAACCATTCCAACCCCGATGCCGGGAAGAACCGCCTAATTGGCCAACAATGTGTTGGGCGCTGCTCAAATCACCTGCCATGGGCGAGTTGAACAAACCACGCCCCGCAGCTTCCTTCACAGCCATTGCTTGCCTGGTCAGAAAATTTAAAGTCCATCCCCCCAACCCCCCAAGGAAGGTTTTCAAAATCCTTCTAAGAACGCCTTCTCATTAGAAGCGGGCCCAAAGGCTTTCCCCCTACCTCGGCCTGGAGTCACTTGCCCACAACCTCCCCCCCGGGCACCCACTCTGCGCTGGCAGTGAGTGTTGATCACAAGTCCCAGACAAGTGATGGTTTGGGGATCGGTTCGGCAAACAGTGAGCAAACTCCAGCGTAAGCAAACATCTGTGCTGCAGCATATGTACGAGCGCCATATTTCTGCCTGGCTTTCTGACAGTGGCCCCGTCTTCGAGCGGCTTTGTACACTTGTCTGCCGAAGGGAAACCAGAAACGAGTGTGTGCAAACTAAAACAAGAAACCCCGTTGCACTTCAATTCTGATCAGTTGGGGCCCTCCAGGGCCATTCTCATAGACCCCTCTGGGTCGGAAGAGTGAAATCGCTCTTGGCCCTCGCAAACTCTCAAGACCTGAACATGGGCACGTACCTGCGCATCGACATGCGACGGGAAGGCTAAAGAACGGTGAATACGTTGCCAAAGAGTGGATTGAATGGAACGTAATCAGAATCATTCCGGGACAGGCGAACACATCAGAAAGGCAGAACACGGGAACAAGCGTGATGTCGTCAAAACTGTTTGGAACAGCATCCTGGTTGCGCCACTTGCTTTGTATTCTCTTAAAACTTCTGCAAGGTGATTTTCCGGATGCACCCGTCCAAATCTCGGCAGTTGAATGTTCGCTTCTGTACAGCTGGAAAATCAGCAGACTCCTGGAGTAACTCCCGTTCCATTTCCCTGACATAGACCGCAGGTAGCAAACATTGCATATAACTCGACCCCAATCCGCTACAATCCAATGCATCTAACGTAGACATACACGCACCCACCAAACATCCTCTCACATGTGGCATTCTGACTTCCATGCACACCTGTGTCATTGCACGCTAATATGGTCCATGGTGGATCGGGGAATGCCATGACCGCAGTAGCTGCCCGAACCCCCCTCAAGTGACACCCTCAACCCCTTTACTTGCAACCAGAATGGGGAATGGCCTTCAAGCCAACCCTGGTGTCTTGCCCGTTCACGAAGGCCTTCGGGATCCTGGCTATTGAAAGCAGTCATCGGAGGGCCGTTGCCTCACGTCAAAACAACAAAGGGTCGAGGATTGCTTTAGGTCTGCTTTTAGCACGCTCGCCTGGCAAAAATACGAGGTCTGTGCGAAATGACAAAACACTACAATGCCAGCAACGTGGCTGTGCCCCCCTGCACTGCCCCCTCCATCCTGCGCCCGGGCTCCAATGTAGACTTAAATCTGGCGGTGGTCAATTTGCCTGGTGAACACCGCTGGGTTTCAGGCTACGGGGGTGCTCCGGAAATCGGGGTGATTTCTACAATTGGAATTAAGGAATCTCCAAGGACCTGCTCCTGTTTCGGTGACTTTGCAATAACTTGCGAAAGAAAATGTTGTGCCATTCTAGGGTGTTGCTTGAAAGGGGGAAACGAAATGGAAAACACCATGCTTTTGGGAAACCTCCATTTGCTTAAGCCGCCTGTAAACTAAATAAACATATTTCTAGCAGTGATAGATTGCCTTTAAAAGCAAAAGGAGTTTTGTTTGTTTCAAATTATATATATATATATATATATATATTCTTAAGCAAATGGAAGGAGACAACCTTGCCCTCGAGCCCCAGCGCACGGGCTGGGACCCGAGGGCTGTTCGTCCAGAGGGAGGCCCGCCAGCTTCCGGTAGGCGAACCAGGCCTGGCTTCCGTTCCAGAGGCCGTCGGTAAGTCGGTCCCTCTCCGTTTTTGGAAACACCCAAGCCTTCGTAGGTTCTACGCTCCTGTTGTGGAATTTCCTCATCCGTACCAATATTGCAGCCCGGTGAACGAGTAGTGAAGTGCCAATGACCGAGAGCAACGAACATTCAGGCCCTTTTGTCCCAGGTCCAAGTTCCCATCGAGAATGGCATTTGAACTTATAATGGGTCAAAGTGCCTCCTTAGAAGGTACTTGGGCCCTTAGTGTTCAAATGCAACTGCCTCAAAGAAGGTGTTTTGTGGGGTCGGTTGAATTGGTGGCACATGGAATTGTGTGTCCCAATAAACAAGCACTGAGCAAGCAAGTTAAGAACTCTTGTTGGGGCGTTGCAAGGAACCTACACGAGATCGACCATTACTTCTGCTCAGAATATCCGGCGGCTTACCCTTCTCCAAAGACAAACAGGATAACCCATATACTTCAGGTACCAAACATGTAAAAATGACTTGCGGATTCTGGATTATACAAATATTAGTTCGGCAGGCTGAATATGGCGGGAGCAATGATCATGATTTATCACCTTGCATGGACTAAAGGTGGGCAAACCCTTTGAAGTGCCTCAGCACAGCATGCACACCTTGACTTTGGTTCCACAGTATGGTTGCGTTTCCTGTAGGCCTTACTATATGACACCCACCCTTTTTCCGGGCAGGCAATGAACCCCTTCCCAAAGTGGCACACCCGTCCGTTGTCCAGTTTTGCTGCCCAAGTAGATTCCATCGGCTCCGCAACACCAAGGAACCGCCCCCGGTCGTCCGCCTTGGTCTGCTTGAGTCGCGCAGGGTCCAACCTGTGGCATGCTGAAAGTGACCCAGGTGGCATCCAAAGCCACCCTGAACACAGCTAGTCAAAGTCAACAAAAACAGCTTCCATCTAAACAATAAGCCAAACAAGAAGGGAAAATAATAAGCTAAACAATGAAAATGGCAACATCAAGCTAAACAATAAGCTAAACAGGAAGAGTAAATAATCAGCTAAACAATGAAAATGGCAACATCAAGTTAAACAATACAGGTTAAAGTTGATGTTGAAGATGAGACAGCATGCCGGCGCTGAAATTGCATCGCGCGCAACTAACAACAACATCGATCGTCGATCTGATGTCACAAAGGCTCATGGAATTTCCACAGTTGAAGGGCTACAGGAACATCAACACGTTTAATTCTAATGTATCTAGACAAAGCCTATTGTCTAACACACCGATCAGCTCGTTCTTAATTTGACCGAAGGAGAATATGTTGATCCGGTGCGCAACCATGTCTGTGGGTTCTGAGCATCTTGGTGCATGTGCCTTTTGAAGGCCATCACTCGGCTCCCTTTGAGCGCTTCTGTGGAACTTCAGCCAACAGCTGTTCTACGTAGTTCGTTGAAGCGGGGTTGAAGCAAGGGGCATCCCGCCAACAGCGGTCACCATGGCCCAACAGCACAACAAACCCGTGGCATTTATCTGCGCAGTCACCCTTCGGCTTCTGGCTCCACTTTTTGCTCGCCCAAACCACCCCAAACCACCCGAGACCCCAAGTGTTCAGGAAGGCCGGTGAGCGGCTTCGAGGGGAGCCAAAATCTCGCCTTGCCATGCCGCCCACAGCAAATCGCACGGCGCCGGTCACTCCAGAGTGATGCTTCCGCCAAAAAATAATACCCTCATTCGGCCAAGCCTTTTGAAGGGGGTTATTGATCAGGGTCAACAAATGTCAACGGACCTGAATGGGAGGTTTTGTCCACTCGTATTTGCATGCGATGTTCGCAAAACGCACGCAAACGGGATACGGTTATCAATGTTCGGTCCAACCCAACATGTTGACTTGACTTCCGTCTGGCCTTCACATACCGTTTGGGCCAACAATTCCATAGTTTACCGCCCTACAATCAGAGCTTCCCAAACTCGAGACTCTTCATCGTTTTTCATTGGGGAAGCTGCCCCCCAAAATATATAGATACATGTACATATATATATATATATACTTGTATAATGTACACATAAAAAGAACAAACACTACTATGCACTTGCATCAACTCATGAGGTTTTGCCTCCTCCGTCGTAGTGAGATCCCCAATGTCACCAAATGACCAAAAGCGGAGCCATGGTGAGTCCCCCGCCCGGTGGCGGTTTTCGTGATGTCGTAGGAGCGCAGCGCCGGGGTCTCCTGGCGTCGAAGTCCAGAAATCCCCAAAGGAACGGCCCGACGAGCCGCGAGTTCTCCATCAGGCATCGCGGGGGGAAAGAAAACAAAATCCGACAGGAAACTCACTCTTCAAGGGGCCCAGAGTTTTTTAAAGTCTATGTCCGAAAGGGAATGATGCAGGGAAACCTGGAGGCTGTGTGGTTCCACTCCGACAAAATCTGCTTCGCACCTGGGATTGGTTGTTTCTGAACCATGCAGTGCTCATAGGTTTCCATCTATCCCAACTGGTGCAGGATGGAATGACAGTACCAGGGAACCATGATTCAGCGAGCCGAAATGAGATGAACTTGGGGGCCCTGGAATCTCCTGCTACAATGCTTGGTCATGCAAAGGTCCCTTTGTTCGTCTGCAAGCATTCCCCCCACCAAAAGGAAACCCACTTTGAATTGGCCTTTCCAAAGCATGGCGTTTGCATCCCGAGAGAAACAAAGCTAGAACTCTGTATCCTTTCCATCGAAAGCAGACTCAACCAAGGATCTCAAATGTGCATCTCCCAGGTCTCGACCCATGAGATTGCTCCCATTTGCAGAAGACGTGAGCTTTGCGCAAGACTTGCGCTTCTGGATGCCAGGCAAACTCAGGTTGACCAAACGCTTGCGAAAAGATCGAGACAAGCCGCATGGGCAGTTTCCCTGCGCATCTGCTGGAACAGCTGTCGCGTACTTGGGTGTCTCAAAATAGGTGTCACCCAATAAAGCGATATGTTCCTTGTCGTTTCTTTTTAAAACCACAAAACAAGCACCCTCAAAAAAACACATCTATCAGAAACACCTGGCCAACACGGGCCGACCGATTCATGAGAATGGCTCAGCCTGTCCATCTCAAGGTTTCGCCCTTCCGGGCTTTACCCCCGGCACTAGTCCAAAGCCACATTTCCTCAGTACATAGATTGCCCCGCCCCCCTCACCCCCCCCCCCCGCCGCCCAAACGAACAAAAAAACAACTTTGTGTTATTCCACTCAACAGGTCTCAACCCCAAGAAAAAAAGACAAAGCCATCCAACTTAAACCCCCAACCCCCCCTTTTCCATGCAAAACTCAACCCCCCCCCCAAAAAAAAAAAACAACGGCGCCGACCCGCGCGAGAAGTCCCGCCGTCCCGCCGCCCCGCCGTCTTCCGCGCCTGGAGCCCGGTGATCTCCAGCGCCTCCTCGAGGTCCAAGGTGCCGCCCTCCGCCTGGCCGTCGAAGAGCCTGGCCCCGAGCGACCGACCGCGACGGACGCGGCTCACCGAGGGGCGGGGCGGTTTTTGGGGGGGGGAGGGGTTTTGGGGGGGAAGAAAGAAAGATGGACCTGGGATGGGACATTTCTTAGAACCCGTTTTTGTTCCAGCTTGCTTGCACCAATCTTTTTGTTTCGTCGGAACTCCCAGCAACTTGATCAACTTTTGATGGATCCAGCGAGCCCAGTCGAAGAGGCAGGAAGCTCCTGGCTTCCACTTTGAGATAGGATGAACACCATGGTCGTGGAAGTTTCGGATGCACACCATATAGCCCACTGGATGCGAGTCTTTGCCACGGCCCGGTATCGCAGGAGTCTACTCAAATGTAAGAAACCGCAGCCACAAGCTGCCAGTATTTACGGCGAACGTCTGGCGACCCAGCACGTACCCGGGTTGAGCCAGGAAAAGGGGGAGGCAGCAGAACTCGACACTTTGCCCGGCCGACTGGTTTCGCGCTGTTTCGGTTGAGCCTGTAAGCGACCTCGCGGTCCTTGGAGTATCTGACCTCGGAGCTGGCATGCAGAATATGCTTGGACCCGGAAAAGGGTTGAACAAATGGGTTCCTTTCGGACATTGCCGCGTGGCTGGAACCCACTATCCGTTTGGGGCTCTATGCATCATGTCATAGCCCGTCCAAATTTGCTGCGACTGGAGGATTCGGACTTGACAGATGATCTGTCCAAAGCTTCCTGAACTGGCATTGGTCTGGTGGTCTGCCCACCAGAAGCTGAAATGGAGCATGCAAAGGAAAGGGTAGGGATGGAATTCTTCAGGTTTCAGGCACTCACTCAGAGACAGGGGTTCATGTTCCACCCAAAAATGTGTGTCAAAGGCCCCCCTCTCAGTTGTGGGTTTCTGCGCTTGCTTTGAGCATGAACCAAAGGAGCTTTCCGGCAAAAAAAGCAAACCGCACTTAGTCACTTGCGCTTCGACAGTCTAGTGGAACTTGGTTCCAAATGAACTAAACAAGGTTGGCCCCAAGAGGAGACTCATCCATGAAGCTCTTCGCGGTCCTTTCCTCATGTTCGGGTGTGTGCCAAATCGGGGGACCTCCAAACTGATGTATATATATATATGTATATATATATATATATGTATACATATATATATACACATATGATCCTTTCATTTTTCTTTTATCCCTATCACATGAAAAGGGTACGTACGAACCAACTGTCAGCCTGCCAGCCTTTGGCCTGAGGCTGACACGCCTTCCCCTTTTTGCAGCAGCTGCTCGTTGAAGATGCTCACATCGCACTCGCCAGACCTTGAACAGTGTGTTGTGGCTGGAAAAATACTTGGAAAAGGAAAACTAAACACAGGAAAATAACATACTTGGAAATTACTTGTTGATTGCATACAGGAAAATGACTGGTATTGTGTCGTTGTCTGGAAAAATGACAGAAAAGAGCCCATCCCCTTTTGGCTTTTGCCCTTTCTTGCACTTCCCGTCCTTCCACGCATAGCAAACTCCACCACCTCCTGGAGATGGTGCTCGAGGTGGGACATTGAAGATTCTGGGGCTACTTAGCACCTCGCCACCCTTCCAGTGATACCAAAGGCAGCCCAAGACTACTTTATGTCCTCCGATGGGGTTCGTTTGGTACTTGTATCACAGTTCCCCCCCCCCCGCCCCCACCTTTGCAGGAGGGAAGGGGATTTGACTCAAGAGGTGATTCCTAAACCATGACCGGTGTTCAGGGTCTAGATGCTTGGACCCCTTTGGACACGTGGACAGCCTTCTCCAGGACCCTTCTTGGATTTTTGAGAACTGCACCGAAGGTCCTGCGTGCCAAAGAGCTGCGCATTTGAAGTGCAAATACCTTTCCCTGCACATATGTGCAGACAGAACCGATCTGTTGGTCCAAGTACTTTCTGGTGAACGCCATAGCTGGGGGGCGTCCTATTCCAGGACGAAAAGCGTGACAGAAGTCGGCAACTCGTCTTATTGATTGGGACGTGATATCCTGGGGCTGGGCGGACTGGTAAGACCCACATCACAAACAAGACTACCTCGAACCTGGTTGACCCATGCCGAGGTTTCGCCCCCAGCATTTCAGGCTTTTGTCAACAGCACCAAGCACGAACCTCAGAAGGACAAGTACTTTGGGACAAAGGACATCGTCGGCATGACCCAACTGCCTGAGACCTGAAATGTGAGCTGGCTTTTGACCAAAGACCTCTTTAAAAAAAAAAAAACGTGTCTTGAAGAAAAATGGCCCTCCTCAAACAATGTGTTGGGTCACTACGGCAAGTTGGGACTGGCTTCTCGCGCGCTCACTCGGGCAGTCCCAGCCAGGTTGCCGCTCGGAAGAAGCCTGGGACCCCGGGCTCCGCGTAGTACAGCACTCCTGCGAGTGGGGAAAACCCCTTGCTTCAACCCATGGTTGCAAAAACACTTTTAAACAATCAGAGGAGGCGCACTATCCACGACGAAAAACGTGAGCGCTAACCAAAAAACAAACAAACAACCTCTCTTTTGGCATATTGAAACCACGTGGTTTCTCCAGACGACCTCCTTTTTGGTTTCTATATGAAGGCCACGCATGGCGTATGATATTTTTTTATCTTTTTTTTTTAATGCACATGAGTCTGGCACCAGCTTATGTGGAGCTCTAAGGGGTGCTCCTTAGAAGGCTTTGCTGTTGCCGTTTCGAAGCAATCCTAGCCTAAGACAAATGCTGAAAAGAAGTTTGTTCCTTCAACTTGGATCAAGTCAACAGTCAGCATATACTAAGGGGCTACTTACACAATGCTGGTATCAGATTTGGTGGTTTCGAGTGTGTTCGAGGGCTTCCCATTTACCTCCACAAGAAGTTCAAATATTCAGGCAATCTGAAGCGCCGATCATGGGCGTGGACAACATGCGTGTGTACCTGGGTTACTCTTCCCCTCTGAGCAAAAAGGTCTGACCTTTTGTAGGCTTACCCAAACCAACAACTTGTGTCCAAGAGGTCTAAGGGGCTGAGGTCACTCCCAAAGGCCAGCCATCTACCTTGTATGTACCCATGTTTGTTTAAACAAAACAGGTTGGCATGTTTTCCAGCGGCAGCTACCCGCACGGGGCCTGACATACTCAGGCCCTGCATAAGCCAAACTCAGCTCATCGAGCACCACGACATTTGGATCCGGCGGACTGTGAACTGCGAACTGTGGCAGAGTTGGTGAGCAATAACACAGAAACACACGCCAAGCGAACAACCAACCAACCAACCAACCAACCAACCAAGCAATCAACCAACCTACCAACCGACCAACCAACCGACCAACCTACCAACCAAGCTACCAACCTACCTAACCTACCTAACCTACCTAACCTTAATACCTAACCTACCTAACCTACCTAACCTACCTAACCTACCTAACTTACCTAACCTACCTAACCTACCTAACCTATCTAACCTACCTAACCTAACCAGCCAGCCAACCAACCCAACCCAACCCAACCCAACCCAACCCAACCCAACCCAACCCAACCCAACCCAACCCAACCCAACCCAACCCAACCCAACCCAACCCAACCCACCCACCCACCCAACCAACCAACCCACCCACCCACCAACCCACCCACCAACCAACCCATCCACCCCCAATCCACCCAGCCGACCAACAAAGCAAAACAAGAAGCAGAACACGAGCAAACAATCACAAGCAACACACAAGCAAAACTCAAGCTCGCGCGCTCACACACACACAGAGACTTGTCAAGAGGAAGATCCGCGAAGCTGAGAAATCGCACGTGGAAGCCAGGTCATCAACAAGTTCACAGGTCCCCAACAGTTAAAAAAAGGGTCAGGAATTGAAAGTCAGAAGGCACGTTGAAATAACGGGCCTTCTGTTTCAGATGCCCCCTGCCTGCCAAACATTCGCGTGCGTGATTGCACACACACAAGCACACATAAGCACCTACACACGAAACATAAACACACACACACACACAAGGCCTTTATCACACCAAAACCGCACTTGACAAACAAGCCACACAATGCTATCAAATCCACCCCCCATGCTGGTACTGTAGTACATTTGTTCCTCCAAATGGACCTGGAGAAATCGGGGCAACCTGATTCTCCCATGCACATCTGTCGAATTTGCATCCTCTCTTGTGGCTATCAAGAGGCATGGAACCCAAAGAACACCATCTACTAATGGCCTAAATAGTTGGAATGGGCTTGCAGGCGAAAATGTCTTCAAATGAAGGTAATTATTTGGCCGATCGGCAGGCGACTCCGTGGAGCTTTAATTTCAAAGGGTCTTTCGCATGGAATCGTGGGAGCCTTGAGGGCTGCTGCCCCTAAGTCCTAAAGAAAACTCGCCCCCGGATCCTCAGATTTATGTGGCTGTCAATCTTAGGGCACGCTGAATTTCCGTATTTGCGCACATGTGTCCTGCGGCACTTTTGCTCGGGAAAACGATAGCTTGGTCAAATCGGCACGAGTTTCCGCAAACACCGTCACAGCTCAACACAACGCGATTTCGTCGCGTCTTTGGGTCATCCGCACTGCGTTTTCACGGGGGTTCCCCCAACCACAGGTGGTGGGAACCACAAGCTCAAGTCTTCAAAACTAATCACCGAGCTCTATTCTCACCTCCTGAGTTGATTGGTCATCAAAAGTCTCGCGTCTTGCTCTTGAACATGTAAAGGATCCTCCCAAAAGTGAATCAAGTCTGAGGGAGAATTTACTTTGCCGTCCCCGGTTCGGCTCGCCGGTTCGGCCTTTTCCGGAAGGGCGCCCACAAACGTTCAGCAAGCCACAGAACATATCGCCTGCGAAGCTGTGGCCGTGTCTGTGTTTGTGTTGTCTCTCTGTGTGTGTGTGTGTGTGTGTGTGTGTGTGTGTGTGTGTGTGTGTGTGTGTGTGTGTGTGTGTGTGTGTGTGTGTGTGTGTGTGTGTGTGTGTGTGCGTCTGTGTCTGTGTGTCCGTGTCTGTGTGTTTGTCTGTTCGCGTGCGTCTGTGTGTCCGTGTGTGTGTTTGTGTGTGTGTGTGTGTGTCTGCCTGTGTGTGTGTCTGCGCGTCTGTGTCTGTGTCTGTGTCTGTCTGTGTGTGCGTCTCTGTGTGTCCGCGTGTGTGATTGGGTGTAGGGAGCCCCAAAGGAGAGTGCTGACATGATTCATTTCCCGACAGGGGGCATGGGAAAATTGAGTTGTCCCATATTGTTGTCAGGAAACTGCGGGTTGTCCCCACATAACCTCGCCGAACCAAAGGTATACTACCAACATTGTCAGAGACTCATGTGAAGGAACGTCATGCAACCCTTTAGTACTTTAGTCTCTTCAGTCCTCGAGATCCAAGAATGATGGCGTTACGCCCTTGCAAAAAAAAAGTGAAACCAGCAATGTGCTTGTTTACGAAGCAAACCTTTTGCCAACTAGTCCAACACGCGAGCTTCCTCAAGTAGCCCCGCAACAGCAGACCCCAGACGCCATGGGAAAAACACAGGGCACGCTGTCTCGGCCAATAATGTTCAAGGGGAACCTCCTCCAAAATTTGGACAAACGGGCACTTGATCGACTGGAGATTTCATTCCGGCATCCCCTCACGCCGCGCCTGTCGAAAACATGAAGGTGCCCTGGTAGCTACCTGCGGTTGCAACTAGGGCGCCAGTAGGCGGGAGCGGGCTGAGGCGCAAAGTTTCAGTATGTGGTTGCTCTCACTCTATGCATTAGTGGATTCTAAAGCTTGCGTTTGCCCGTAACAGATGCATCTCAAACACAGCCCAAGACATGCGGATGCACAGCCAGCGCAGGTCATCTCGAGCCCAACATTAATATGTTCCATTGTTCTTCTCGAGCTGCTTGGGCGCATGGTCTTGCTTTGGCTGATGTGCTCTCAATGCTAACATTACGTTGGCTCGTAAAATGCTGGGCCTTAAGGTGTGGTGGGTATGGGGAAGAATCGAACCTTGCGAAACCCGCGGTAACGGGTCCCCTTGGTCCCCTATCTGAGTGTCTTTTTCAAGGTTCCCCTTTGGTGGCAGGTTTAAAGGAGAGCAAAAGAGCCACTCATCTTGACAAACCCGCCATGAACAAGATATGTTTCAAAACCTCGCGGGCTTCGGGAGATGTGCAAGTTCCGCTTGGCTTGCAGCGACTATGAGAATACCCAAACTAAAGAAGGAATTTAAAAAAGGGTGCTATTTTGGCCAAAAGACCAAAAGGAAATCCAGATTGTTAGGGGGGGTGTTCCATGTTACTTACTCTGTCGGGTATTTGAACATGCATTTGGTTTTGCAATGTGTTGCAATGCAATATCGCGAGTCACTCATTTGTGTGCGCGCACCCGCTTTTCGAGGCAGGTAACGAGAACGGTCAGAGCGTCCGCTTCCGCTGGTTGCCCACAGAAAAATCAAGAAGTGCAAGTCGTCAAGCACTATATCTCTCTCTCTCGCCTTCAGGCATGTACATATCAGAAGGAACGCCATCTAATTGCTGATCAACGAACTTGTTGTTCAATTACATCCAGACATCATGCATCAGGTATCAAGTGGCTGTTCATCTGGGGTTGTTCGGTAGGGGAATCAAAGATAAGCCGTGTGTTGGGGGTGCCCTTTTTTGAAACACACCCATAGGTGAAAACAACGACGCTGTTTGCAAAACAAAAAGCTGATAGAAGCCGACCCCGAATGCCGAATACTTGCTCAAAGCTACTGTTCCGCGTGTCTCCCTGCCTATCCAATTTACCTGCCTGTTGGCCTACTGGTTATCTGCCTGCGTATTCATCCGCGCATCTCTTTGTGCATACTTCTGTTTGTCTACCCATCTGCCTATCTGTCTATCCGTCTATCCATCTACTCATCTGTGCATATTTGTCTATCTATTTAACTACTAATCTGTTCCAATCAAGACAATCTGTTCTAATCTAATCTCATCTAATCTACCTACCTATCTGTCTATCTATCACTTTACACACCTACATATCTAGATCTATCTGTCGGTCTGTCTATCTATCTAAATGTGTAGATACTATCTATTGGACTAATTTCTCTATCCATCTATCCACCTGTTCTAATCCAGCCTCTACTCGATCTATCTCTCTGCCGCTCTACCTCTCTGTCTTTCTATCCTTCTATCTACCTACCCATCTCTCCTATTTATCTATCCAGCTGTCTATCGATCCATCTGTCTGTCTGTCCGTCGATCAATGTTTCTTTCTCTCTACCCGATAAACTATATTACATTCCAACGCTGGCGACCGCTTGCGCAGCAACGCGTCTTGCTGACACATGCGGACCGCAGACCCCCATAGCGGGAACCCTTCTGCTACACATTCGGAACAAAAAACAACTAGACCACGGTTGGCCCGAAAGCATATCATCGCAAGCGAGGTCGGCCCAACGCTGCAGGATGCGTTCTTTTTCCCTCCACGAAGCATTTGTGAAGCAAGCGCGAGACAGCACCAGGCAAGGTGCTCTGCGCAAACTGGTCGGTGCAAGTTGGTCTGCGCAAGTTGCTCTACGCAAGTTGCACTGTGCAAGTTGCTCTGCGCAAGTTGCTCCGCGCAAGTTGCTCCGGCAAGTTGGTCCCTGCAAGTGGCTCCCTGCAAGTTGCTCTGTGCAAATTGCGCTCCCTGCAAGTTGCTCTGTGCAAGCTGCTCTGTGCAAGTTGCTCTGTGCAAGTTGCTCTGCGTAAGTTGCTCTGCGCAAGTTGCTCTAGGCAAGGCGCTCTGCGCAAACTGGTCGGTGCAAGTTGGTCTGCGCAAGTTGCTCTGTGCAACTTGCTCTGCGCAAGTTGCCTTAAAATGCAAGTTGCATCTTGCGACGCCCGCCTGCGGACCAGGGAGGAATCGAACCCGCGACCTGCAGGTTCCGGGAACCACGAGACAACTCCCGAGGACCAGTTCGAACAACAAAAGCCGCAAAAAACCTCGAGTTTTTGCACCTCGACCACGCCGATTCCCGCAGAGGGTTGCGCGAGCACCGCAGAAATCGCAAAACACCATGGGTTTTTGCACCTCGACCACGCCGATCCCCGCAGAGGGTTGCCTGGGCACCGCAGAAATCGCATTTTTGCACCTCGACCACGCCGATCCCAGCAGAGGGTCGCGCGGCCACCGCAGAAATCGCAAAAAAACCATGGGTTTTTGCACCTCGACCACGCCGATCCCCCGCAGAGGGTCGCGCGAGCATGATAGAAATCGCAAAAAAAAACATGGGTTTTTGCACCTCGACCACGCCGATCCCCGCAGACGGTCGCGCGAGCATGTTAGAAATTGCAAAAAAAAACATGGGTTTTTGCACCTCGACCACGCCAATCCCCGCAGAGGGTCGATTTTCGTGTAGTGTCGTCGGCACTACCCCGCCGCCCTAAGAAGAGATTTTAACTCCTCGCAAGTCAA